GACTCAATTTGCACTATTTCTGGCAGTCTGCAAAGGCCCTCAGTGTGTTTCCATGGGTGAGCAGGATTCAAACCCTGATCTCCAGAGTCATAGTCCAGTGCTCAAACCACTATGCCACACTGGCTCAAAGGTATGATATTATATCTCCTGTTGTGGTGTAGAACAGTGCTTCTCAGGGCATATAATGCCAGGGACCCAGCAGTTATTTTTTTCCAATGTGCCAAGGACCAGAGCCAAAATTGTGCCCATTGACTACAGCTGTGTCTTCCTTTCCTGGAAATTCATCAAGGTCAGTTTGGTAGCCAATGGCTAAGGAATTGTCACTGGTCCATAAACCAACCCTTTCATTACTATTGTATATAGAGCATGTTCCCATCGGTTCATTGTTTCAGAGCTGTGAGAATTTCTTCACATTTCAAGCCATGGTGAGATGTGACCTTGAAAATAAACCTCAAGATCATTTCAAGGGTGGCATCTAGAGTTGTGACCAATTGAAAACTGGAGAGGGCTCCTGTCCCTTTAATGGTTGTGTAGAAGAGGAATTTCAACTGGTGTTGCTTGTCACACAACCAGGTAATAAGGAGCACCTGTTGAAATTCCCTCTTCTACACAAACATTAAAGGTACAAGTTGCACCTCCCTTATCTGAAATGCTTGGGACCAAATGTGTTTGGGTTTTCAGATTTTATTTATTTATTTATTTATTTATTTATTTATGGATTTGGGAATATTTGCATATACATAATGAGATACCTTGGAAATGGGACCCACGTCTAAACATGAAATTCATTTATGTTTTCTATATACATTATACACATAGCCTAAAGGTAATTTTATACACAATATTTTGAATAATTTTGTGCATGGAGTAAAGTTTTTGCAGAAAGTAAAGGTATCACTAGTTGAGCCATCCACGTGGACAATTTTGGATTTTGGGATATTTCAGAATTTTGGATATGGGAAACTCAATCTTTTTTTAGTTTCACTCTGGCTATCCTGGTGTCACATGAAGGACATTTTTTCCCAATGATCTTCTGTGTTATGGCGCTCTGGAATGCCATCCCTTTGGAGGCTTCTTTGGTACCAATGGTGGCTTGTTTCTAGTTTAAATATGTCTTTTTATCAATGCCTTTAGAATTGGAACATTTGCCTTGAATCTGTACAGATGATACATAATTTTAAGCTTTTTTTAACTGTTAGATTGTTTAAAGTTATGTTTGTTAAATTACTTATTGACTATGTTTTCAAATTGTTTAAATTATTCTTTGTTTTTATACCTATATTGTTCTAAACATAATATTTTGTATCTATATTAAGGAGATTGCAGCAGGACTGATTGCGATAACTGCTGTAGGGTGGAAAGAAAAAAAAAGGTGTTTATTGTCTCAGGAAATCCATCTTAGGATAGGAAAGGAGTTAGGCAAAAGAAACTGACCTATACTTTGTTAGTTTGTTGTTGTTGTGTGCCCTCAAGTCATTTCTAACTTATGACAATCCTAAGCCAACTCTATCATGGAGTTTTCTTGGCAAATATAATATCATCAAAGAGGGTTTGCCATTGCCATCCTCCGATGCTGAGAGTGTGTGACTTGGCTAAGGTTACTCAGGGGGGTTGCAGACTGCCAGAAATAGTGCAAATTGAGTCCACTTTAACTGTCCTGGCTCAGTGCTAGGGAATCATGGGAATTGTTTTTTTCTGAGACATTGAGCCTTCCCTGTCAGAGAGCTCTGGTGCCACAATAAACTACAGTTCCCATGATTCCCTAACCCTAACCCTTAAAGTGGACTCAATTTGCACTATTTCTGGCAGTCTGCAATCCCCCTTAGAAGAGCCCCTAAAAGTTGGCTCTCATGTGGGTGTAAGCTAACTTCCATTATTGGAGTTGAAGCCCCATGGACAAAGATTAATTTAGCTTTTCAAAGAAAGAGGAAGTGAGTTCTGCAGGTAAAGAAAGATTGTCTAGCATTGTCTTGATTCCTGTCTTTCTCTCATCATTTTATACAAACAGCGATGCCTCTTTGCTTCTAACACTAAATTGTATTAATTTGATTTTATCTCTACACCATCCTGAAATCCCATGATACAGAGTGCGCTATGAATGTTTTAATAAATATAATAAATCCACAGCATCGCAAATAAATCAGGTTGCATATAAGAGAGACTTCTGACTTGACTGAAATCCTGGAGAGCAACTGCCAGTCAGTGCAGACAGATTGTGTTGTGGTCTGACTCAGGATAAGGCAGCAAAACAATGGAGAACAACAAAAATGAATAGTAGACTCAGGAATGCCTGAGTGTGTGTGGCCCTGAATCTGCAAGACCTGAGCAGGGCTATTGATGATGGGGTGATGTGAGGTGCATCTACACTGTAGAAATAATGCAGTCAGGGCCTTTGCAGACTGCCAGAAAGAGTGCAAATTGAGTCCACTTTAACTGCCCTGACTCAGTGCTAGGAAACCATGGGAACTGTAGTTTATTGTGGCACCAGAGCTCTCTGACAGAGAAGGCTCAATGTCTCAGAAAAAAAACTACAATCCCCATGATTCCCTAGCACTGAGCCAGGGCTGTTAAAGTGGACTCAATTTGCATTATTTCTAGCAGTCTGCAAAGGCCCTCAGTTTGGAATCACTTTAAGTGTTGTAACTCCATCCTATGGAATTCTGGGATATGATGTCTTTAGCCTTCTCTGCCAAAGTGTGCTGGTGCCTCACAAAACTACAAATCCCAGGATCCTGTAGGATGGTGCCATGGCAGTTAAAGTGGTGTCAAACTGCATTATTTCTACAGTGTAGGTGTACCCTTGGAAATCTCTCATTCATAGGGTTGCTGTAAGTTGAAGTCAATTTGATGACAGTTAATACCAACATGTGCAGTGCAAACCTGGCAGCAGGGAACCTGACGTACTCAAGTTTGCTCCTCACAAGATTTACTTATTTATATTTATTCCCTGGAATGAGAGCCAGTGTGGCATAGTGGTTTGAGCATTGGACTATGACTCTGGAGACCAGGGTTCAGTTCCCTGCTCAGCCATGAAACCCACTGAGTGACCTTGGGCAAGTCACACTCTTGTAGCTTCAGGGGAAGACAATGGCAAACCTCCTCTGAACAAATCTTGCCAAGAAAACCCCATGACAAGATTGCCTTAGGGTCATCATAGGTCAGAAACTACTTGAAGGCACACAACACACACACCAGGAATACCTTCAAGATTGTGAAGTCACTGATGTGGGCAGCCCCTCTATGAATACAGATGACAGCTGTTCCATTGGCAATAATCTTTGAGAATTCCTGGAAAACAGGAGAGGTCCC